TTTTAGTGTTACATTTGCAGACTCAGCTACTGTTAGTTCTGTTGGGAAGACAGAATTTAGCTGTGTAACCTGCAGCATGCTTGTATCCTATCTTCTCTGAAGGATAAGTTTAATGCAAACATGCAGAATGTTGTGTATGCACGTATATGTGCTATCGCCTGGCTTGGTTTTTTCTTGATTGTTCATCTTCTTGGAGAGAGTCACAGCTCTGTGTGTTTGACATCACTGACGTAAAGGGTTTTGTTTACTTCTCCTACCCCTAGCAGTCTAAATATTGGATGTCTGCGCTAATCCAGTCTTTGCTGATTGGAAGAAAGCCTGGGTGCCCAGGGGATGGTTCACCTCATCTGCCTTGGAGACATGCTCTGTGGCAGCACGCCACTTCGACGTCACTAGTAGAGTGGGATGAGTCACTCTCTGGAGCAGCTTGTGTCCCCAGCCCAGGGTAAAGCCTGCAGCCAGCAAGCCTGGACTGGGTAGGCTAAGTTAGCTGAGCTGGATTGCGAGACGTGGGACAGACAGGACTATGCATTGTATCTTCAAATGGCACTAATGAGGATGGGAAGGCTGTTAATTGAGGGCTTAGTCCTGAGCTCCAGCTAGCAGTCAGGGTTTCCATTGACTCCAAACAGCTGGTCCATCCTTTTGAGTCTATTTAAAAAGAAAAGAAGACTCTGGGAGTTGGGGACTAGTGTGAACCCTTCCTTGTTTCTGGAGAAGCTGATCTAGATTATAATTAGAGTGGGATTTGTACAAATAATGTGAGATTTAGATGTTATTTTGATATTTATCGCTGTTTAGGGTCAAACCCATATAGCTTCAACAGGGAAAACATTCTGCCTTTCATCTGTTAAAGTTTGTTGGCTTGTTGTTTTTTGTGGTTTTTTTTTAAGTCAGTAAGACGTTCACAAAAATGTAGGCATGGAACGTAAAGTGTCAGACTTTGTTTGAAGGCTTATCAGTTTTTGATTATTTCTTTAGAAAGAGAATTGCTGTGGAAAAAGAAATAATGCTGTGATGCAAATTCAAACCTGGGTAGGCACGAGGGGGAACTGAGCTAGATTGTTAGTGTGTCTTCCTTGTGAGTTTGAATTTTTTCATGGCAGAGTGAATTGGAATAGTTACATAGAAACACAAGGCCAGCAACTGTAGTAATTCTCACCTTCTCTTTCTGCTTGTGCTGAGCAGTTACAGCAATGCTATCTGTCTGATCTAACACTGAAAATTCATTGCTATGCTCCTTCTGCTTAGTCTGCTTTATGACTTTATCAAGCTGAAAGCCTTTTGAAGTCGGTGGGTCATTTTCTTCTCTTCATATTGTATGTTGTTTCTAAACGAATTAGCTTCTAAGCTAATCTGTCATAGATTTGATTATGGTACGCAATCACAAGGGAGTTGCTTTTTCCTGATGCTGAGCAAGGAACTTTATTGAATAAGGAAAACAGTTTAGTGTTTAATTCTAGTTTGGTCTTCCACTTTCTTGCTTTCACTGTGGAGCTACTCCAGTCTTTTTTTGCTAGAAGATTAAAGAAAAAGGTATCTGGATAAAAATAATAGCTGTGTGTGTTGTCCTTGACCGTATACACCCTGAAAGTGCAGAAGTGGAATTGTATTCAAGTGTCCTGCATTCATCCTCCATGCTATCCTTGCCACCACCTTAAGTCAAGGAGAGAGACGTGTTATAACTTTTTAACCTCATCCTCCTGTGCTACTTTCTTCCTCAAGTCTTAGCACTTGGAGTGGAGCCTCTTGATGTTGATACGCCTGCTCTGCTCACAGATATGTTGTTGAGAGAGGTTTGTCTGTGCTCAGCAGCACTTTCTTGCTGGTATTTTTTCTAACCCCTATTTTCTTTGCTTGATTCAGAGGCTGTTTTGTCATATTTTCTGCGATGAAAGGTTTAGTATTACTCCTTCCCTCACTTTGCTACAGCATACCTACAGCTACATTTCTTCCCTCTGTAGCTTGCTCTGTAACATCCTTTAGTTGGGGATGATTTGGAGTAATAGTAAATACCGCAGTATTCTCCTTGCTCTAGGGTCAGGGTTTGCCAGACCTTTGTACAATTGTTATATAGATAATGTTCCGTGTAAGCCTCAGGAATAGGTGAGAGAGGCTTGGTGAAAGTTGTGCTGCTTTTCCCCCCCGATCCTGTGGAAGGTGCGTTCTCTAGCTCTGGGCAAGTGTTTTCTGTGCAAGCATGAAATGATCCCTTCCCTCATCCTAAACCATTTGTTGAGCTGTGTTATGGATCTCTGAGGGAGTCAGCTACATCTGACTGTCATGCTGGGGGGAGAGCTCAGGAGCCTAAAGTGAGGAATGAGTACTGGCTTTGCTTCTGGTAAATGTGATGGCAGGTTGATGTACCTGAACGTCCAGGTGCAAGATTTCCGAGGACATTAAGCCATAGGCTGTTCCTTCCTCCTCTTCTTTCTCTCTTATTCCATCTTAAAAAACAAAGTAGCATAAGTGGTCTGTGCCACAGAAATATGTTTGTCACACTGCATTGCTTTGAACTGCATAACATCAAAGAAAATCAGTGCTTTGATAACTTGATTTGAAAGGATTGTAGAAATAACCATCATTATGAATCACAACAGATAGGAATGGAAAAGATGGCGATTTTCAAACAGCAAAGCTTGTAAGGTAAGGGAAAATGTAAGGTAGGTGCTGTTGCCACATCCTCATCTAAAATATCCCCACCTTACAGCTGTTATGTAGCTTTGCAGAATATAATATACTTGAAAATACAAAGAGGAATGAGAAATACTCTGTAAAAATTTGTTTCTGAGGAGCAAGGAAACAAGTGTGGGCTCAGAGAAGGGCTAGAATAAGGGAGAAAGCAATGCGTGCTGCTTGGGTAGGAGCTTCCACTTTCTCCTCTTTGTAGAAACACCAAGATTTCTTGCTGAGACCCTCTTCACCCCAGAGGAGTGGGCATACTTCCCTGTTTCCTTTGCAAGGGGCAAGATTTGCCTCGGTTGTGCTCTTAAAAACATTGGCTTTGTAGCGACAGTGTGAGTACCTTCTCTAAGCATCTTCCCAGGCTGCTGGTCAGATGAGTGTCATGTCATATGAGTGGGACTGGTATTTCATGTCTTGTAAGCTGTTCAAAACCTTCACTTTTACTTATGAATACATTCTGAAAATGGAACTACAGAGCACTGGTACTCAGCTTACTACCTGCTCACTTCATCCATAACAACACAGAGCAGCAGGACTGCATAGAAACTTTTAACTGTCTAGTCAGGAAATTCTTTTCTTACAAAAGGAACAGGAACAGAAAGATGGGAAAATGTGAGCTTTGCACTGAGTGAGGTGTGAAGTTGTTGGCTCCTACATTCTGATCCGAAGCCACTGTTGTAAGTTCTTTTTGTTTGTAATACACTGCTAAATTACTTGAATTACCTTTGCACTTCTAAAAAGCATACCTGCATTCTTTCTGCGCTAAAAATACTGCTTTGCAAAAAGTTCTGCTAATATTTACCATACAAGTATTATTTCCACAATGATAATAGTTTACAATTATAATGTTTGAGTTTTCTGTTTGATTATTAGCTGAGATCACGTTTTTGCATTATGTATATTGAGTTATTACGCTAAACAAAATCAGCTATACTGACAAAAACAATCAGCCAGTTGACTTCTGCCTGAAAAACTCTGTTTAATCAATACTTTCACTGTAAAAGTGATGTGCGAGGATTTTGCTAATCAGCGTTACTGACCAGCTCCAGCAGGGACTGTCTGAGATTACAGCACATACAGGAGTGGGGCTCTGGTCCTAATTGTGTCTGTAGCCTTAAATGTCATATGGGAACACTAGCATTTCAAGGAAAAGCAGAAATACCATCATGTGTGCTGTGTCAAGGAGATGTTAATAACTGCCACACACATCTCATTGTATCTTATCTAAACATTTTTAGCCTTGCTTCCTAAGCAGGTAGTTTAATGGGATTGTGCTATCTGTCTTCAGCCCTCCACTCTAATACTATTTGCACCCATTGACTCATTTTAGCCACACTTCAGAGAAAGACAGAAGTGTCATATACGTTGGGTTTCTGTGTTTTCTGTGAAAACAGGTGGTCAAGTGAAGCAGGAGAGCTCTGTGTTAGTTCTTTCCGAAAAGAACTAGCAGCCACTTTTGAATACATTGTTTTACCCAAGCGACTCCATACAAGAGGGTATAGGAAGAGGCAAGGGATCCAGCTGTGAAAAAAGTGTCAGGGAGACCTCAGACCTTGTAAGACACAGGATAATCCAATCATAAGAAAAAAAACCAACCTGCATAAAAGTGTGTCACTACTGCTAGTCAAGGAGTACTCCTTCTCGGTGTGGCTGCTGCTCAGGGTTATTGTTCATGGTCTGACTGAGTTTTGCCTTGGCAGTGCTAGTTCTGTGGTCAAATCCTACCTGCCGAGTCAGCATCCCTTCTGGCTGTCAGCAGGAGCTGGCTTGTGCTTCTCCAGACAGCCAGTACTGGCCCGTTTTGTTGTGGGGAAAACAGGAGCTGTCTGGAGCAAGCACACAGTACTTCTGTGGTCTGACGTTTTCTGTCTAAGCTTCAGGTCAAGTTTTTCAGATGGCCGTGGGCTTTAAATGTCCAGTGTCTCACAGCTGGTCTTCTGCCTTTTTTTGAGAAGTGCTAAGCATCCTTTGGCTGTTCTGTGAACCCAAGTTCATCACAGAATCATACAATCATAGAATCATAGAACAGTTTTGGCTGGAAGAGACCTTCAAGATCACTGAGTCCAACCGTTTCCTAGCCCTGTCAACACCACTAAACCATGTCCTTCAAGTTAGTGTATGCTTGTTCAGTGCTAGTCCAAAAATACGGATATTTGTTCCTGTTTTTAGGAAGTAAGAAATGGCTCATTGGAAAAATAAATAAATAAAATTTTAAGGTCTCAGATGGAGGAATAATTACTTGTCTTACTGCATCCTGAGTGTGTACCTCTGGTGTGGTGTACAAACCCAGACCTTTTCCCCTCTCTCTTCTCCAGGCTGTCAGCGCTCCATAGGCTTGTCCAATGGGAAAGCCAAGGTGTGCAGCTACAGTGGATGGTATTACTGCAGCACCTGCCATGTGGATGACAGCTTCCTCATCCCTGCACGGCTGGTTCATAACTGGGACACTTCCAAATACAAGGTAATCTCCCTGCAGGCTGGCTTCTTAGCGAGTGAACCGTATTGGTCTTTAGGTAGAAACGCAGACATTGCAACAGATTGAAGGTTACAGACATTGACTGCTAATACTCTCTTTTTCATCCCTCTTGCCAGAATGTGCCACACTCTCTCAACAAGACAGGTATTTTCATCACAATTTCCTTAGCCAGGCCTAAGGCATTCCTCCAAAGGAGCAGCCATGTTCCTTTTTCTTCGTGGCATCTTTTCTGTCATTGCTTATCTGGTTGTTCAGAAGGCAGGGTGGGACATAACACTGAAACCCCTGAAACCCCTTTTTTTAATTAGCACTAAACTTTGCAGCTGTTAGGCCCTTGAGGAGCACCTGCGTCGTGGGCACTAGAGACTGTGGATTGGCACTGCTTGGTAATGGTTGCTAACTTGTGAAAATGGCCGTGGGAGACTGGCATACTCAGACACGGTGTTTGCAAGGCCCAGTATGTCCTGTCTCTTGGCACGAATATTTTGAGGATGCTAGAAGGACACTGCTGTAATACTCATTTGGAACAGACAGCCAAAAGCAACATAAAGAGAAAATTCTATGGTTGTTCACTTGCCACATAAGCAGCTTTTCTAAAACTTCCATAATCTGCTGTTTGCTGCTGCCTCAGTGGCTGGTCATTAGATAGGGGCAACCGATTACAAGCCTCAGAGCATTATGCCAGCAAACACAGTAGCAGTGTTGTTTTGCCATCTCAGGGAGCATATGCTGAAACAATAACAAACTCATAAAGAGTCCAGACCATGCTAGAGCTTCAGACCTCGCAGCCACTGTTAGGAGAGGCTGTTTGATGTTTTGTGTCTGCGAATATTATTATGATGGGCTATTTGACAAGGGAAAAAAATAACCAGTAAATGCCCTATTAGAGGAAAAGCAGCTCTCTTGTAAAAGAAAATTTGTCAGATGGGGAGATTATTGAAAGGTAGCCAGAGCCTGCCATCAGGAAAATTATAGTCTTGCGCCATGAAATACAAGATTCTTCAGAGTAACAAAGCTCCTACGTGTGGCGACAAGAACTGTTCCCTTTCCTAGAAGCTAGGAATAAATATTTAAGAGTTCTTTCTTTGGGTGCTTTTGCCAAGTCTAAACTTGCTAGCCCTTGATAGTACAGACAGCCGTGATATGGGGCAAGTGAATGGTAAGGCAAAGACCTTGTATCAAGCTGTCAGTAAGATTGCCAGGAAAGTAAACTGTTTTCTAAACCCGCAGGGTAAAAACTGCGCTCAGTGCTCTATTTCCTGTGGTCTTGGTAGCTGAGGCACAAAAGTAAATGGGATTTTCAAGTTTAAACATTCATTGAAAACATAATCTACTGTAATCTCACTATAATAATGAGAAGTTGCCAATTTCCACTTCTTGTAAACAGGCAGAACAGCTGTGAGGTGGCTGGGGAGCACAAGCAAACTCTGTGCAGACACTTTACCAGTCTCTGTGCCTTAGTGCTCAGAGAGGTGATTTCAAGAAAGGAACACCATCCCTTAGGTAGGAAAACTCTACAGTGTCCCCAGTATTAGAGCAGAAACTAGGGCAGGGAGGAAGAGCGAAGAGAAATCATGTGCCACAGCAGCAGTGCAACAACTGAGCTGAGATCACTGATTGGATCTCCTCCCTGTATAGCATTAAAATAACAAGTAGTTCTTCCTACTTGTGTAAAATCTTTCTGTTTGATTCTGCATACATGCACTTTTATTACTGTCCCTACTATGCCTCCATGGGAACTCAGCAATATTTTTTCCGAGGTAGAGCACATGTTGGCTGCACTTCTCTACCCACATCTCCTTTCACCATGCAGAGATAAGGTCTGGTGTTTGTCTGTTTCTTCTGTATAGTCTATATGATCTGAAAGGCAACTTAGTGACAGTTGTTGCACGTAATAGTTATAACAAACCTGTACAATTCCATAGTAGTGTATTGATTAAATGTGCTGTTTTGGCAAAGACAGATACCTTGTCCCACTTCCTTCAGGTGATCTTCGTAGTAGTAATTTTCTTTGGGTTATTTTTAAAGGAAGATCCCATAATTTGTCAGCGTTGTACCTCCCATAACTGGCCAGCATGCCCACACAAAGCTGTGCAGCACCATCCCAAAATGAAGCTAAACATGAGAGCTGTTTCTAAATTCACAGCCCTGCCCCTCCCTGGTAGCACTGCAATGCCTCAGAGTGGAGCTTCTGCAGTGAGTGACTTGCCCCTGGCCAGACTCATAGCATACCCTAGAGAGGTCCTGCATGAAATAAGTATGTACCATATTTGATGGTCAGAACTGAAACAGGGCTTCAGTCTTCAAGAGCTCCTGTGTCTCACACGGTCTGAAATGTGACTGTCAGTCCACCAAATGGAAGCAAAGTGAATGAAAAGTTTGAAAACCTGCACTCCTTCCCACTGCGACCTTCCCCCATCTCTGCTGTGTTTTTTGGAGTCTGTCCTATCTGTCTCTGGCAAAGCAGGCAACCAGTAGGTACTCTAGGACCTGAGCTTTTATGATGATGCAGTGTAATTGGACATGTTTCTCTTTTGTGTTGCATGGGCTCCTAGACATCTGATGAGCAGCAGCTGTAAACTAAACTGTTGCGTCAATTAAGAATTGCAAATGGAGAGGTTCTTGACTGCTTTTGGTAACACAGGTCATGAAAAAACAAATGCAGTAGAAATCTCTGGAGCTGTGTCTTTCCATATCCAGGGTCTTGAAAAACAACAATGCATTTAACACCTGAGAGCGTATGGGTTGGAAAAGTTCCCTTGAGTGCAATAAAAACTCTGAAAGGACTTTGGAGTTGGGCATGTTTCCTCTGTCACAGCCAAAGCGGTTCACCTTTTTATCTCCTCTCAATCCTGTTTCCATATTTGTGTTTTCATGTGTTTATGTGAAGGGAAAAGAAAAGAGGCCATCTTGTGAACATACTTTCTTCTTTTTACTTTTTGGCCAGCTGTTTTCCCCGTTTGCACACAAAAATCAGTAAGTGTTGGGAGTTTAGTTCAGGTGGCACAAAATGCTGGACAAACACAGCAGGAAATGAGCTCCCTGTGCCAGAAGGCCTCAAGGGAGGCCGACTCCTGGTAAATTGAATTCTGAACTGTAAGTTTGCAGCCTCTAGAAAAGAATGGTCTGGAAATGTTAGCTTCCATCCTTGTATGATATATAAAGCTAAAACTCTGTTGAAACTTTGCATCTTCTCACTCCTTCTGACTTGCTTAACAGGCTTGTCTTCTCTGCCCGGTAAAACTGGGGGACCATGAGTATGCAAGCACGTGTCCTAGCCATATTGGCTGGGAGCAAGCTTAATTATTACAACTGCCTGATCCTTCCCATTATATGACTGTGCTTCTGCTTCTCGTAACTTTGCTGTGGTTGTCGAGGTGAGTTAGTGTTTTACCTGACCTGAGTGCCTGTCGCTGGCACGTAGCAAACACCTAGCTGCCAGCCAGTGACGCTGGGCAAAGCTGCTTTTCCTGTGATCAGCACTCCCCAGGTGCATTGCATTGGCAAGGAGAGAGAAAGGTTTGCTTTGCTCCTCTCCTCAAAGGTGGCATTCAGACCATGCAGCACCAGAACCACACGGTAATACTTTGTCATCATAGCACACATGTATTGCAGAGTCACTCAGGTGACCTCAATTCAGGCATTTTTATTTTTTTTTCTGTACCCTAAAGAGGGTTGCCCTGTATGTGGTGTCTTGGTAGTACTTGGTAATAACAACAACAAAACAATAACAATGACAATAACAATACTACAAGTGCAAGGTCCTCCATCTGCTTCGGGGCAATCCCAAGCACTGATATAGGCTGGGCAGTGACTGGCCTGAGAGCAGCCCTGAAGAAAAGGACTTGGGGGAACTGGTGGACGAGAACCTCAGTGTGAGCCATCAGTGTGCACTTGCAGCCCAGAAAGCCAATTGTATCCTGGGCTGCATCAAGAGGTGCGTGGCCAGCAGGTCGAGGGAGGTGATCCTCCCACTCTACTCCACTCTTGTGAGACCCTACCTAGAGTACTGCATCCAGTTCTGGAGCCCACAGCACAAGAGAGATACGGATGTGCTGAAGCATGTCCAGAGAAGGGCCATGAGGATGATCAGAGGGCTGAAGCACCTCTCCTATGATGACAGACTGAGAGAGTTGGGGCTGTTCAGTCTGGAGAAAAGAAGGCTCCGAGGAGACCTTACTGTGGCCTTCCAGTATCTCAAGGGAGCCTACAAGAAAGGTGCTGAGGGGCTTTTTGGGATGTCAGATAGCAATAGGACTTAGAGGGAATGGATTGAAGCTAGAGATGGATTGGTTCAGATGGGACGTTAGGAAGAAGTTCTTCACCATGAGGAGGGTGAGACCCTGGCACAGGTTGCCCAGAGAGGGGGTGGAAGCCCCACCCCTGGAAGTTTTTAAGGCCAGGCTGGACGGGGCTCTGAGCAGCCTGATCTAGTGGGGGATGTCCCTGCCCATGGCGGGGGGTTGGAACTAGATGATCTTTAAGATCCCTTCCAACCCTGACAATTCTATGATTCTATGATTCTAAGGGTGTGCAGGTATGGGTACTTGCCCTCTGGTTGCCAAGGTGGCAGGGCGGGTGGATGAGCAGCCCATTGCTTCAGCGGGGGTTTAAGAGCAACAAAGTAAGACTACAAAGACATCACTGGGCTCCAGGTCCTGGTGGGAGGTGGTGGTCTCTGTACCAAGCATTCACGTGCCTTCTGGGGAATTACTGAATATATGGCTTAGTTTGCCCATTGGTGGAAGAGGAATAATATTTACTGTAGGTACAGCAGTTGTCAGGGGATCGCTGAGATATTACAGCCAAATAGTTTAATGATTGTAAAAGCAGGTTGTTTGACTGCAGTCTCTTCTGTGCACCGCAGTTAGAATGTCTAATAAAACATGAACTAGTGTTAGAGAACTTGATGTATTTGGGGTTTTTAGGCTTTTATTTTACAGAATCCAAGCTGCCTGTGCTGCTCCTTACACAATGTGTTACCTGTGCTTCCATTCAGCAGCACAATTCCTTATATGTGTATTATTAAAAATTAAAAAAAAATTGGGATATTTAATACAAATAGATAAGATACTTAGTACAGCTTCAGGGCTTGGGAAACCTGTGGAGATACAGTCTGCTGTGTTTGAAATTACACATTATATTCTCAGTAGTTGTTGGTGGGAAGGCTGGCCTTGGCGTTATATTTTTACCGTGCATTGTGAAAAGGTTACATCTGGGGCCAGCTTTCCACGTAAGCAACTAATGAGTCCTGTGGCTAGTAACTTGAGCTGATTTTGGAAGTGGTACTGTTTCTGAGGTTGTGTGTTGCTACTTCCTACCTTACAGCACCAGAAGAGAAATAACATCCTAAATCTCAAAAAAACTGTGGCTTTCTCCTTTTGTTAGCCTAATTCATACCTCCCTCAACTCAGTGTAAACAGTGATTTAAAGGTCCAAGAGGACTAATTGAATTGTGAAGCAAATAGTATTTCTATAGCATGATTTCAAGTGATTTGCAGCTCATTTCAGATAATCCCATCTTCTCTTCTCCAGCTGTGACAAAATGCAGAAATAAGGAATGAGAGGGAATTTGGCCTTCTCACCTCAGAAACAGGAGTATCTTTTCTACTAGGAAGGAAAGTCACATTAACTTATCAAGATTACAGTAGCTCTTAGACGGAAATAGAACAGAGCACTATCATGAAAAAAGAAAAATTTAATGCAAATGAAACACCATAAAATTCAACTTTATTTACCTATATTTAAAAAAACCCAACAATTTGATAGACATGCTTCTGATTATTTTAATCATAATGACTGAGCATGAAACAAATGAGAGCAATACTTTACATTGGAGTTCTCTACCCCAGAGTATTACAATGTGATTGGATTTTTAGTGTGTGTTTCCTTTTCTAATTTTGTGCTTTGGCACTTACCTAATCACTTGCTTCTTGCCAAAAGGAAAACAGCAAACAAACAAAAAAATATTAACCCTGCAGTAAAAACACACATGTCTGCAAATATTGCTGTACTTTGGATAAATAGTTATTTCATACACTCAACTTTGATGGGCTTGACGAAGTTTGACTTGGCAATAAGCAGAGATGGTTGGATCTCTCTCAGCTCTGTCAATCTGTAATTAGTAACCGGCGAAGTTTTCAGATGCAGAGAATACTTGACAGATCATAGGGGGCAAGATCTACTTAAAAAGATTTGGGAGGAAAGCCTAGCTAAACTAGTTGCTTTGTTTTTCAGGTATCAAAGCAAGCCAAAGAGTTCCTGGAATATGTTTATGAGGAGCCATTGATTGACATCCAGCAGGAAAATCCCATGTTGTATAAGCATGCTGAACCTCTGGCAACTGTTGTCCGCCTGAGACAACAGCTAAAATCTCTCCGAGCCTATTTGTTCAGCTGCAGAGCAGCAGTGGCTGAAGATCTGCGCAGAAGGTAAGAACCACAGACAACATATGGCACAAGGATGTAGTTTTCTTGTCATGTTGTTTTTCTCCTTTTCACTTTTCTTTGAGTCTGGTTCTGAAGGTGTTCCCTGTTTAGAAAGATGTTGTGCTTGTACCTGGTTTCCCTGGGTAGCTGCATTATCTACTGCCAAAGAAAATGGTTTTATAGAGTGTGGATATCTGAAGTTGTTCTTGACAACAACGATTAGCCCAGGGATCACACATTGTGATCTTTTACTCCTCCTCAGGCTTCTTCACTGTGCATGAGGAGTTCCAGTCAGATGTGATACCTTATGCTCCCCACCGTGGCATTACAGTGGAGTAGCCACTGTTGGGATCTTTGAAGCACCTCACAGTATGGCAAAGCATGAGAGGCCAGAGTCAACCACCTGTCCAGCGCTTCTGCCCTCTTCTGTCATATGATCTCAAAGAAGGCAGAGGCCAGATGTAGTCCCTGGTAGTTGTGACCCAGCATATGATTTATGTGACACCAAAGCAGTTGTGGTCTTGCTCAGCCGCTATCTTTTCCATCTGTGACACGGCTGTGCTGAGTATTTTGTTTGCTGGAAAACACAGGGTCACAGCACAGCAGAAGGTGTTTCATGTTGAGTTTTCTGTGGTGAAAACAGTTGTTTTATGAATACTGAACTTCATTTTGGAAGTGCTGTATCTAGTTTGTTCAGCTGCTCCTGCATTTTACCAACAAGCTAAAAATGAACAATCTTCTTAAAACCATTAAGCTATAGTTACAGCCTTAAAATAGCCAAGTCACTTCTATTGTGGATCTCTGAAAGAGATAGGCAGGTATCTCTGCCTGTGTTGTACTGTGAGTGGCTCCAGGCACATGCAGCTGACCTGATGGTGAATGCATCTGTAAGTGTTTGTATCCCCTAAGTTTGTAAGTAAGAGAGGACTGCAAGTAGGAAAGCCACTGCTGGGGAATCATGAGCTGCTGAAGCGCAAGAAAGCAGATGATGCAGGTCACTGTCTTTTGAACGTAGTGATTTAGGGATGGGGGACCTGAATTCATTCTCTGGGAGGGAGAGGAGGCTGCACTGGTATGTCTATCCGAGGTAAGGAGCGAGGCAGTCTGCTCTTCAGTACGTAACCTATGTCGTTGCTTTCATAGAATCATAGAATGGCCTAGGCTGGAAGGGACCTTAGAGATCATTTAATACAACCTCCCTGTCATGGGCAGGGACGCCTCTCAACTAGATCAGGCAACATCTGGGGACTGAACAGGGATCGAACCCGCGACCTTGGTGTTATCAGCACCACGCTCTAACTGACTGAGCTAACTGGCCCCCTGCTTTGATGAATACCTGAAATAACTAAGAGAAGGCTATAGCAACAGGTTTCTGGAGGGCGCTACTGAGTCCTTGCATCAGAGCTATTGTGTGTTAATATCTGTTTGTGGCTTACTCTGAATTCCTGTTATTTGATAGGGCAGTTTACAGCATTTTAAAAATTAGGATTATTTTCCTTTTATTCTAGAGGATGGTATTATCTTGCAGAGCTCTTTTACCATTTAGCTATAGTAACTTTTTTTATGCTATCCTCTTCAACTGCAATAAAACTGAAAGGAGAATAAGATCTGTGAAGGCTTGTGGTTCAGAAAAAGTGGGAGAAAAGAAATTATGTTTTCTGATTAATGCTGAAGAAAAGAATGCCCTGATTAAAATAGACAGGAGGAGGCACAAGACTGAATGGACTTGGGTAAGAGAATGAAAGAAGGGAGATCAAAGGAGGCCTGAGTAGAGAAGTCAATGGTCTAGAGACAAAGGGATGAGAGAAAGCCAGGAGAAGGAGGAGAGTCAAAGAGTGAAGGGATCTCAGGAAATTAAGAGTTAATGAAGAAACCAGGGCAAAGAGAGAGACCAAAAACCTACCCCCAGAAAGAATGAGATGACAAATGCTGAGGAAATGCAGAGAAGAGAGAATGGACAAAAATTAGTACAGAAATGTGTGCATGGTCTTTTCTTGGGGCAGGGAGGAGAGAGAAAAGCCTCTGTGTGTGAAAATGAAATACCCAGAATGGCAGCAGGGGACTGCAAAATAATCCAAATGCTCCCTTTTCTTATCTAAGGGTTCCTTCGTTCCTTCACACTGTCTTCGATAAAGCTGTCTGTGGTGGAGAGGAGGACCCCAGCCCAAGAAGTCATTTTTTTTCTACAAGGGAAGCCTCTCCAGTTTGGTGGGAAGGAATGTACAAAACACACCTTAGCGTCCAGCTCCTCCTTGGTCTCTGGAGTCTCTGTCGGGATGAGTTTGGTGCTCGGTTGGTCCCCCAGAGTCTGACAGAGGTGGAAAGGAAGAAAAGTTCTTTTCCCAGAAGGAGTTATTCTTTGCTCAAAAGTGGTCGCAATGGCTTTGCTTTCTGCATGCAGTGTCGCAGTGTGCAGACATTCACTGTCAATGTGATTGCTTTATAGAGCACAGCTGAAAAGTAAACTGAGAAAATAGATGGTTTAAATTTCCCTTTGGCTCATCACATGGGCACACTGCAAGAAAAGGAGGAGTTTAACAGTACAGTGAGGCAGCATTCCTAAATTTAGTACTGTTTCCTAGTTAGAAATGAAAGGCTGGGGGAGAGAATCCAGTTATCTGTCCTGCTCTAAAAACATTCTTCTCCTGCTTGGTCTTCACCTTAGTATGTGGATGACTATTAATCACAAGAAAGCGAACACAACATCTTGAAGACCTGTCAGACCCATATAAACAGACTGAAACAAACTGTTACTATTGCTGTCTAGGGAGAACTAAAAACAGACTGATTAATTGTATTGGCACCTTGCTGCCTTTGGGACACTGATAGAGCCTGCCTTATTAGGGAAAAGCAGATCACTCTGAGGTTTCTTTTATTAATATTATTTGCATTACCATCTTCTTTAAATCTATACCTTGCTCTTGAACCCAGATCACAAAATGAAGATGGCAATGAAGTTGGAAAGTCTTGGTGTCCTCTGGGAAGACAAAACTGTTTACAATGCTTACAAGTCACTTTTTCTGAAGAATTCCAGATGGCTATAAACCAGGTTAGCTCAGGATCCAGTTGGCTTAAATGTGGAAACGTTATTTATAATGCTTCGTGTGCATAGATAGGTCCTTTGGGAACTCTGAAACCTGGCATCTAGCAGAGAACTCAGGGCTGAACCACACTGTGAACTGTGAAGAAGTGAGTAAGTAAAAAGAAAGGAAGAAAAAAAGGAAGAAAGGAAAAGAAGCAGAATAAATCCTAAAGGTAGCTAGAAGGCTCACAACAAAAGTAGTCGTCAGTTATAATGATTTGCTCTCACCTGTTGCTCCACCGGATTCTAATATCTTCTTGTATTTGCAAGGGAAAAAAATAAAGGAAGCGAGATCTGGCTGTGAGGCTAAGTAAGGCCCTTCACCTTCAGCGGCGTTCCTCCGAGCTTAGCCAGCTCAGACTCGGCCTGTTGCTGAGCTCCTTGTTTTACAAGGGAAGTTGTTATGCCTAGTTTGCTGTGGCTGTCACCTCAGTATTGCAACAGACGTAATTTGCCTCAAATGTCTTTACTCAACAAGTTCTCGCTTGTTTTGGTTGCCTTGCTTGTGTGGATGCTGTTCAGGCAGAAGCATACAGGACCAAAACCTAGAGCCAAGTGCAAGCGGAGCTGTACGGATCCCACCACAGCCTGTGGGTTGTGGGATGATGCGTGACGAATGAATGGCACAGGTGAACAAGACAGGGTCAATGAAATGGATCGCTAGGGAAGAGCGAGAATCTCCAAGTCCGTTAAAAAATGAGGTCATTCTGTGAAGCCGTGCTGAATGACGCAAGTTTTATTCTGGTTTTGCTTTCTTTCTTTGTCTCTAGGCATAAGACACACTAACAGTGTGCATGCCACAGCCTCTTTTCCTCTGTTCTTGTCATAGTTGGAGGTTCTTCAGGTCAAGGAACTATCAGAATGGTTTTCTGAGGAGTCTTCAGGCACCTTCATGTCTACTGTAGGGCAGGCTAACCCAGGTCAACCATGGAGCTCTCTCTGGGCTCTCTGCTTTCTCAGCTATACACCTAAACTTGGGATCAGGTGTTTTTAGCCCAGTTACTTTAGTCAGATGGCAGTGACACAAGGTAAGTGTTCTGCAGCACATTCCCCTATGCTTTAGTGCTTGCTGCAGTGTCCTCACTTTGTAAGTAAATCTTCTAAATGATGGTGAGAAGCTCTATGGAAAAATTTCCCTCTTGTAACTCATCTCCGTCTGGTAACATTTGTCTGTCAGCTCCAGAACAGCAATACAGTGGTTTTACCCTAGCAAAACTCCAGCGCTGGATGCATTACTTAGCATCTTACAAGAAGACCAAATTAGAGCTTGCTGTTGCAGCAGGAGGTTAAAGGTACACCTCCAGTGCCGCGGACGTGTGGTCCTGGCTGAGCCAGCCAGTCTGTCAGCACGATGTGAAACAAGCCCAAATTCAGTTATGCTGAACAATAGACTCCTGTCACTTCCTACAGTGAGGTCTTAGACATATCACTTCTGACACAGGAGTAGGTTACTTTCAAAATATTTGTGTGGCAATTGGGGAACCTGTCTAAACACATCACAGGAATCCTGATTGATCTTATGCAATCACTATACCACCAAATACTGCACGTATGTGAAGCTGGGGCTATGTCATCTTTCAGACCAAGGACAACAGAAGGTCATTAAGTCATGTCCCGACTGTCGAAGGAGACAAGTTTTCTCCATTTTCTTTGCAATGGGTAGGCTTTTTGGAGAGTGGAAAATCCCAAAGCAGTAGAACAAAGACACAACTTGTGAAAGCGGTAGACTGCAAGAAGAATGAGCAGGAAAGGAACAGAAGGATGTGGTTTCATAGCACTTGGAGCTCTGACTAATGGTAAAATCAACAGAAGAAGAAAATTTGGTACCTGGCTGATTGGAAGGAGGGTGAGAGAGACACTCCTTCAAACAGGGTAGCTGGGTATTCAGGGAGGATTCAGCATTAAGACAAAACAACACCCC